GGCTCGGAGTGAGAGGTGGGAGCGACGGTGAGACATGGGCAGGTCAGGTCAAGCCAGGCAGTCCACGCAGCGATCCTCGACGTGAGGGGGACAGCCAGAAAGGGGGGAAGCGGGCGCGCAACTCCAGCACACGAGGCTCGAAGCAAGAGGGCAGGCCGGGCAACGACATCACAGCGTGAGCGTGTTTTTTTTTGCTACTCGGCGTCTCGACATGGGAGGAGGAGGAGGAGGAGGAGGAGGAGGAGGAGGAGGAGGAGGAGGGCTTCTGCCCTTCGATCCACGAACGGGCCCTCACGAAGCAAGGGCAGGAGGCGGAGCAGGAGGCGGCGCACCAGGCGCAGGCAGCGGCAGCAGTTCTGCTCCTCTCGCGTACACAGCACATCGCCGTGTGGATCTCGACACGATCGGGCTTCGGAGAGAAGGAGCCCCGAATGAGGAACGAAGCCCGCTTTCGGCTCCCGATAAACCTGGGTGCACGAGGAGGGCTAGAGGAACAACCACTGGAGGACCTTCCGAACAGTGACAGCGAGCCCCTTCCGAACCCAAAGCCGCCCTCAACTGTACCACGATCTCAACTGGGGAAACCACAAGGTACCAAGACCGATGCTCCCCGGACCTCTTCCAGGGTGCGCTCTGACCAGAATTCCGAGGCGAATCCAGCTGTGGCGACGAGGGCCTCCCAGGAGGCCCAACGAGGGGAAAACGAGCGAAGGGTCGCGGTAGGGGTACCTTTGCCCCCTCCGACCAATGCCACGATCGCATCGGCGCGGAACCGGAGGCGGGGCAGCAACCGCTGGCCATCGCTCGGACGTCCATTCCCTGTTTTTTCGGTTTCGTGCGTTTTTTTTTCGCCAAGTGATCAAGGATGCTCCTCGATGGTCCTCGCCGAAGGAAAAATGCACACGTCCGAACGATGCCAAGACCGCCGAGCGACGGACGCGGGCCCCGAGGGAGGGAGCGAGGCAGGCGAGGATGGCGCCCGCGCCTGCCTGCGGGCGAGCAGCTGCCGCCCCGGGGCGGGGCAACATCGGAGCGATTGCAGCTCGCGGGAGCCCTGCACCCAGACAAGCGGCACTGGGAGGAAGGGGGGAGGAGGAGAGGAGGAGG